CTACAGAGAGGAGCTGTTCTAACACTAAATAAACATCTTCTTCACCCTTCACTTGTCTGCGTACCTCATTTTTCCTGGATGCAGGACAAGAACTCAGGCAAAGGCAATGCGGTCACAGAGGTTTCTGGCCAGAAAAATGGACACCCCAGAGATCCTGTAACATTGTGACTTCGCTGGAGGCTGGGAAGCATGCCCTGGTGGTGAAGAGGAATGAGCATGACAACCACTGATACATGTCTCTCCTCAGATGCCGGGCTCGGCCTCCTGGGCTGTAAACTTCCTCATCTGAAAAATGGAAAGAAACACTCACTTCATCCAGCTTTAGAGAGGATGAAATAAATGAACATGTGTCAAGAACTCAGGATAGTGCCTGGTGCATAGAAAATGTCAGCTAAAATTATAATGGTAACTACACATGGCTCTCCTATACCAAAACATGTTTAAAAGCAGAAGCTGAGGAGCTGTGTGGTGAAAAAGGTCTGGAAACGGTCTATGGCAGAGCTTAGCAGTGTGGTCCCTTGAACCTGTTAGAAATGCCTAATCCTGGGCCCCACCCCAGAGCTGCTGAACCATACTATGAGGGCCTGGCCTGGTGAGCCCGCCAGGGTTCCGGGAGGCCTGCCGCTGGCTCTTTTGAGCCTCCCTGCCTGAGAAGGTTGCTCTGGGTATGAGCTGTGTGAATTACTGGTCCTAAGCCTGCACAGACATCCTCTGGACAAGTGGGATCACAGTGAAGACGCGGCATTTTTCCGACTTCTCACTTGGAAAAGCACCTGTTGTGCTCGGGCCCTACCCTGCCCTTCTCCCATTTGAGAGGAGTCCCAAGTCACCTAACCAGAGGACAATCAGTGGTGATCATGGGCAGCCCTGATGAACCCCAAAGCAAATCTATACCAGTTCCCCCTAGGAACGAACCCACAAGGGGGACCTTTCTATGAAAAAAACAACAACAACAACAACAAAAAACGCCAGGGGTTTTAAGACAGTGAACTCATTCCAGGACCCCATCACCTGTTAGGAAGAAGGGAGGGCATCTGTGCTGGGCTGGCTTTCACTACATTAAAAAAATTAAACTTAGGTGCTCGGCGCAGTGGCTCACGTTTGTAATCCCAGCACTTTAGGAGGCTGAGGGAGGTGGATCACTTGAGGCCAGGAGTTTGTGCCAGCCTCAGTAACATGGCAAAACCCCCTCTCTACTAAAAATACAAAAAATTAGGCAGGGGTGGCTGGGCGTGGTGGCTCACGCCTGTAATCCAAGCACTTTGGAGGCCAAGGTGGGCGGATCACCTGAGGTCCAGAGTTCAAGACTAGCCTGACCAATATGGTGAAACCCCGTCTTAAAAAATAAATAAATAAAAAATAAAACTAAAAAAAATTAGCCAGGGGTGGTGGCGCATGCCTGTAATCCCAGCTACTTGGGAGGCTGAGGCATGAGAATCACTTGAACCCCGGAGATGGAGGTTCAATCTCAGCAAGCTGAGATTGCACCACTCCAGCGTGGGTGACAGAGGAAGACATTCTCTCTAAAAGAAAAAAAAAGTTAAACTTAAGGAGTAAATACACTATGATAAGATGCACGCAACTAATATCTTAATCCAGAGTTTAAAGAAAGCTATTTGCTAAGCACAGAGGAAGAAAAAGATCACCATTACAGTAAAACTGCTGGATCCCCAAAGCTATGAAACACTGCATCTCACTAATGATGGCGTTATGGAAGAACTTTCTCAGACCTTTTACAGAGTATCTGGAAACATCAACTAATTGATGGGGAGCACGGCATTACCACAAAAACACTTGTAGAGCCTGTTTATTGCATAACTAGCAGGCACAAATTCCAAAACGATTTTACAACACTTAAAGGGCACAATAATTACAGGAATACAATGTACAATAAAAAGTACAGAATAATGAGTGACAGGGATCAAACATGTTGGAATAAAAGGCATCTCAGTTTTCCTATGCAGCATTTTCTTTTCTAAGAACACGTGTTACCTTCAACCAGAAGAAGGAAAGAAAGAAAATTACACTATTGGAAAGCTCATGGGTGCCACTGAGGACAAAAACAGGAGAGTTTTGCTCTCAGTTCTGCAACTAAATCGCTGGAGGAGCCCTGCACAGCTCCTGAGTTGTGCGTTTAGAGTTCCGATTACATGAAATGCTGTGTTTGATCTTTGGGCCCAATTCAATGTTCTTTGGCAAATAAGAACTATTTGCATTCCAAGGCAGATGACGATTTCTGTGAAAGGAGCTTAGGGGTAGAGCTTTTTCCTTCTGTTCAGCCAAGTGCCAGTTTCATAAAGTGCACCTCTGCCCTATTGGCTTCAGGGGAAGGGTGGCATACAGGGAGGAAGGGATCATTGAGAATATAGGGTAAAAAAATGACGTTACCAAACTCAGACATTGCTAGTGCAAGGTACGGAATCCACGTGCAAAAGGTGGCTGGAACAAATGTTCAGACAAGGTGCGTTTTGCCAACAGGAGCAGAGAATTCTGACACCAGATCTCAGATGAGGCTAAGGAAATGTGCGGGGCACATACGGAGAGGACGATGGCAGCCCTCCACTGGCTGCATGACTCCACTGGCTGTGGCGCGGGGGAGCTTCTGTTCGGAGTTTTGGCACCAGAGGCTAGCTGAGCACTCTTCTGAAATATTCTTACAACTTTGTTGGTCCCCATGTTCCTTGACTTTCTCTAGGGCCATAAAGACAACATCCTCTATTGCAGGTCCTTAAACGTTCCAAGGAAAACAGTGCTTCACCTCCTGCAGACAGCTCATCTTCCAGAGGCCTCTATAGAAACCTGTCCTCCCTGGGACAGCAGGGCCAGGGGTTGGCAAGAAAAAGGAGGGTCAGCGCCGGGCGCGGTGGCTCAAGCCTGTAATCCCAGCACTTTGGGAGGCCGAGGCGGGTGGATCACGAGGTCGAGAGATCGAGACCATCCTGGTCAACATGGTGAAACCCCATCTCTACTAAAAGTGCAAAAAATTAGCTGGGCATGGTGACACGTGCCTGTAATCCCAGCTACTCAGGAGGCTGAGGCAGGAGAATTGCCTGAGCCCAGGAGGCGGAGGTTGCGGTGAGCCGAGATCGCGCCATTGCACTCCAGCCTGGGTAACAAGGGCGAAACTCCGTCTCAAAAAAAAAAAAAGAAAAAAGAAAAAGGAGGGTCAGCTAAGTACATGAAGTCTGCAGAAAAGGCTATGAGATGGTGCCTGAACTTAAGGTAGCATGTCCCGTTCTAGAAGGCATCCCCGGAGCATCCAACAGCAATGTGGCACTTAGGGCTGTGCGACAAACAAGTGGAAGAGTCTTTTGGAGATGTGGACCCTTTTCCCATGCTACTCACAGTGTAGCAAAATGCGACAAAAGCATCCACACACTGTGACTTGGTAAAGCAAGCACCGTTGGGGTGCTACTTTCGTGACAGCATACGGTCAAGCTATAAAGGTGTGCGTGAATCAGTCCTGTGAAAATAGAGGCTTAGTTATTAGGATGTATTGAGGCAACTTGTACTTTGATTCTTGTGTCTTCTTTATGTGAATGAATGACCACTATGAGACAGAACATGCGGGTAAAAACAGGAGGGACAGCAACGTAACGCGCAGGGTAGGCCGGCTCCCTTATGGGTAAGGCTCAGAGGCTGCTCCAGGCGTGTCTGGGGAAGCCAGGCCCTCACACTGCACAGCTTACAGGGCCCCGGGGCTGTAAGCTGGGAGCCTGGAGGCCACAGCTCACCTGCACATGGTCACTGAAAATGTTCAAATTGGTTGCCAACATTTATAAATGGAGAGATGGCACCAAAAAAAGAAAGAAAAAAAAAATCTAGGTTTCTTGTCTCTTGAAAAACCAAAGCTGTGGCTGCCCTAGGCCCACTTTTCCACATGGCAACAGGAATGGAGCTGGTGGCTACTGCCCCTACTGGGTAGGCCATGGGCTCCCCATAGTCCCATCTGTCCCGCTGCCCTGTACCTGGCTCCCTTCACTCATCCACAGCACCAGCCCTAGGTCAGGGTCTGAACCATACACAGAACAGCTCCAGTAAGCAGGAACAGGAAGATGCTTTAACATTCAGAAGAAAAAGGGGCTTTTTAGTAACTAAAAAACAATCTGAGCATGTTCCAGCACTTATATCTTACTCTTTCAGAGCTTTGGGGCAGCAGGCAGTCAGCTAGAGCATACTCTCTAGGGGATTATTGAAAGTTGATGTCTAATTTAAGTACTCGTGAGGTGATGGAGGAGACTCGTTGATGTCTAATTAAGTACTCGTTTTAAGTACTCGTGAGGTGATGGTGGAGACACTAAGTCAGATGACTGCATACAATACATCTTTCCTTATAAGAAGTCCTTAAAGATGATGAAAGATGCAAAGCAACTCATGTGAGCAAGCTATAAGTGGTTAGAGACGCAAGCTGACTGGATGAAAGGTACAACACAACATCAGCGAGTAGATGATTTTTCTTCCTACATTTCACGGCAGTGATTCCTGAATGTGTGGCACAAAATTAGTTCTGGCTTGTTAGACTGACACTTCTCTTTGCTGCAGGTTTTGAACAAACTGTTTGGCTTACAGGGGTGAGGGAGAGCACCTGACAATGGGTGGTGATGTGGGTGGAGCTCCTACCCTGAACATGGCTTCATGAGACGTGCTGTGGCAGGTGAATGCTTTATCTCATTCCATGGAGCCTTCAAGATGACAACAAAATATCAAGAGATAGGAGCTTGAGATAACAAAATTAAATGATAGAACATGTAACAGGGTAAAACAGAAGAAATTCATTGTGTCCGTAATTGATCCGGTAAAACAGGATCAATTCATTGTTTCCTCCCAAGAGAGATTGTGACACTAGTTTTAAAAAGTGGCAAAGTCCTTTCTCTACAGACATGCTTGGAGATACCCCAAACTTAGCTATTCTGAAGTAGGCTGGGAAATTCACTTATTGCACGATGCTTGGTAGGGAACAAATGATTTTTTTTTTTAGCCGAACTCTCTCAAGAAAATGTTTTACGAAAAATCTCATTTATAGTTTTAGGCATAGGCAGGGAGTTTGAAGGGACCACAAATTTTAGACAGTGAAACTATACTTTTGGATGTATGTGATCAACTCAACAGTTGTTGACAACACAGCCAAACATCAGAAACTAAATTGGCAAATAGGCACAAAATAAGGCAAGTGGGTTAAATTAATAGTTGAAAATTTGTTAGAAAACATGCAAAAATAATACTGAGTTTTCTTTTAAAAAGTTTTAAACCGTCATTAAATGTTTCTTTTTGTAGAAATCGGAAGAGTTCTGTGTCTGAATTTGAAATTGGACTTTAAAAAGCCTAGAAAAGCAAGGAGGCGGCGCCCTGCCTGTGTCAGTTGTTGTTCTCTTTGGTGGTGATGGTGACCAGCTGCTTGGCAGCCTTGGCGATGTCGTACGCACACTGGATGACCTGCTGTGTGACCAGCTGGACGTCTGTGGGTGAACCTGGGTCCCCTGGGAGGGTCTTCTTGCACTCTGACTGCAGTCGGTAGGCACTGGATGTCAGTAAACGAAGGGAAGTCCTCACCATGTCAGACTTGGGTTTCTAAAAGGAAAAAGATAGCTGTTCACCCTGAACTGCAGGGCAGTCATCCAAGAGCAGCGGACAAACTTTCTTCTAAAGCAAACCAAGCCAGAGTAAAAGGCAGTTTGGTCCTGCCTTTTCTCAATGGGGTTACTTTACACACTCCAAGCTTCGCAGCCCATAGCGTAAGAGATGCTGAAATATTCTGATTCAAAGATCAAAGTACATGCAGGGTAATTTTAGTAGTATGTGCTATTTTGAGGTAGTTCTTGAAAAATATTAGCCCATGTGGATAAAATATTCCAGAAAATCCTATAAATTTAAAAATTAAAAATTTGCCTTTTAGCACATGATCTGTACTTCCTTGTCTGATTAAATCAACATTCATGTAAAAGTAAAAGATTTCAAAGCTCTATACGACTGCAAATTTTAAAACTTCATGTACTACAAAAAGGCTAATATAATATATAGGTCATAAAGAAATTTCTTGCTATTTATTTAAAAGGATTTAAACCAAGCGAGTAGGAAGTGACTTACTTTGGGGAATAATGCTGCCATTTCTGTAACAGCTACGTGTATCCTCTCTGAGCAGGGAATATAACTGCAACAATATAGAAGAAGTTATTCAGTCACAGTAAAAATGATTCAGAGGCAAAGAGTACTCAAGTGCTAGAACAGCTTCTACATTCCCTTGATGAAGGGACTGGGGCTGCAGCCAGCTGGCTGTGCATCCCACATCAGTAGAGGGTGCACAGTCGTAAAGCAGGGCTCCCATTGCTTCCTGGAAGTTCAAGCTGATGAAAAGGCTCCAGGTATGAAATACGGCAACATAAACTCCTGGCCAGGTGAGGCCACACAACAGTACAGAAACATAATTCACCCTCCTTACATCAGTCATTTACTTCTCATGTGTTTCATTGTCCTAATTTCTAGAAAGAGAAAAAATTTCCATGCAAAAGTCCACAAAAATAAAAAGTAAAGGACTGAAAACATTCCTTAAAATTATAATTGGAGCCTCTCAAGTAGCTAGAACTTCAGGCATGCGCTGCCATGCCTGGCTGATATTTAAATAATTTTTTGTAGAGATGGAGTCCCACCCACTATGTTGCCCAGCCTTGTCTTGAACTTCTGGATTCAAGTGATTCTCTTGCCTTAGCCTCTAAAGTGCTGGGATTACAGGTGTGAGCCATGGTGTCTGGCCCTTTCCTCATTTTTTAAACCATGAAGTTGGCTTCTGAATAGACTGTCATAAGCAACTTATGTACTTCCCCTTTGTAATAAATCTAGTTTCAAAACAATTTTAATTAAAACTGTTGGCTGGGTGTGGTGGCTCATGCCTGTAATCCCAGCACTTTGGGAGGCCGATGTGGGTGGATCACCTGAGGTCAGGAGTTTGAGACCAGCCTGGTCATTATGGTGAAACCCCATCTCTACTAAAAGTACAAAAAATTAGCCGGGTGTGGTGGTGCACGCCCATAGTCCCAGCTACTCAGGAGGCTGAGGCAGGAGAATTGCCTGAACCCCGGAAGCGGAGGTTGCAGTGAGCCAAGATCATGCCACTGTATTCTAGTCTGGAGGACAAGAGTGAGATTCTGACTCAAAAAAAAAAAAAAAAAGACTGCTTACATTTTAAATTAAACCATTTCTTTTCAATAAAATGGTTTATATTATCCAAAAATGCCTCCATGGGAAATCCTGACTTTTACCTTTGTGAGCAATTAGAATCATAAACCATGTAATAACACAAATTCCAATGCATAAGGAGTTACTTAACTTGTAAATATGAAGGGGCAACAACCAATCTGCTCACACAGATTTCAGAAAGAGAAAAAAGCAATGTCCACAGCTATCACTTGTATCATGCTTACTAACAAACTGTGTGTCTGTTCATATCACAGTGACTGAGACCCACACTGCAGAGTTTTATATTCTGTTGGTTACGGTTTCATTTTTGAGAAATACAATTCACCCTTTCCTCCTGCTACACAGAGAAGGAATCTTTCCTAAGGCCATTTCTCAAAAGCTCACTCATTATGAACTATTTTGGGAAGTCCTCGACAAGACAGAAAAGCAAGCACACCCAGTTAAATGAGGAAGCCCTCCTCCTCTAACAGAAGGAGTCCATGTTCACAACTTCACACTGGTATCTTTCCTCAAAAAGGTTTTCATGCACATATGTCATAATCCCTGAATTGTATGTGTGTTTGTGTGAGGCCAGGAATGAAGCTGGAGGCTTAGGAGACAAGACTAGACTTCAGGAATGTCAGGGGCTGGGGCTGCTTGCATGGATTAAGAGGAAAAAGGCATTGATTTAATTAGTATAATTCAAGGTTATAAATAAAAGCATCTCAGGTATCTAAGTAACCAGCAATTTTATAGCATTGAGCAATTAATTAAATGTAAATTCTTTTTTTTTTTTTTTTGAGACAGAGTTTCGCTCTTGTTACCCAGGCTGGAGTGCAATGGCGCGATCTCGGCTCACCACAACCTCTGCCTCCTGGGTTCAGGCAATTCTCCTGCCTCAGCCTCCTGAGTAGCTGGGATTACAGGCACGCGCCACCATGCCCAGCTAATTTTTTTGTATTTTTTAGTAGAGACGGGGTTTCACCATGTTGACTAGGACGGTCTTGATTTCTTGACCTCGTGGTCGACCCGCCTCGGCCTCCCAAAGTGCTGGGATTACAGGCTTGAGTCACCGCGCCCGGCCAAATGTAAATTCTTTAGACCAATTCTGGTTTTAAACCAAAAGAATGAGCTAATGATTAAAATATCCACATCATTCTTTCATGATCTTTTTTTTTTTTTTTGAGACAGAGTTTCACTCCAGGCTAGAGTACAGTGACGCAATCTCAGCTCACCACAACCTCCACCTCCCAGGTTCAAGCAATTCTCCTGTCTCAGCCTCCCGAGTAGCTGGGATTACAGGCATGAGCCACCACACCCAGCTAATTTTGTATTTTTAGTAGAGAGGGGGTTTCTCTGTGTTGGTCAGGCTGGTCTCCAACTCCCAACTTCAGGTGATCTGCCCACCTCAGCCTCCTCCCAAAGTGCTGGGATTACAGGCATGAGCCACCATGCTTGGCCTACGGTCTTAAAAAAAATCAGATCATGAAATATGCTGTCAAATTAATTTGTATATTTTATTTTTATTTATTTATTTATTTATTTTTTGAGACGGAGTTTCACTCGTTACCCAGGCTGGAGTGCAATGGCGCGATCTCGGCTCGCCGCAACCTCCACCTCCCGGGTTCAGGTAATTCTCCTGCCTCAGCCTCCCGAGTAGCTGGGATTACAGGCACGTGCTACCACATCCAGCTAATTTTTGTTTTTTTTTTTTTTTTTTGAGACAGAGTTTCACTCTTGTTACCCAGGCTGGAGTGCAATGGCGCGATCTCAGCTCACTGCAACCTCCGCCTCCTGGGTTCAGGCAATTCTCCTGCCTCAGCCTCCTGAGTAGCTGGGATTACAGGCACACGCCACCATGCCCAGCTAATTTTTTTTGTATTTTTAGTAGAGACGGGGTTTCACCATGTTGACCAGGATGGTCTCGATCTCTTGACCTTGTGATCCACCCGCCTCGGCCTCCCAAAGTGCTGGGATTACAGGCTTGAGCCACCGCGCCCGGCAATTTTTGTATTTTTAGTAGAGACGGGGTTTCAGCATGTTGACCAGGATGGTCTTGATCTCTTGACCTCGTGATCCAGCCGCCATTACAGGCATGAGCCACTGCGCCCGGCCAATTTGTACGTTTTAAACAAAGAAAGGAAAAAAAGAAACTTCCCAATTGTACCAAGTACCATATTGCATCTTTGAAGCCAGAAATGGCCTCAGGGCAGATACTTATATTTCTGACAACCATCAGGGACAGCAATATAAAGCAAGTACAATTTTTAGTTTGAAATACAAGCACAGCACTTCTGAACTAGAGGAAATGAAAAGCAAAGCACATTGACAAATGGCGTCATGGTCCTTGGGAAGGAAGTATTAATTGTATCACGATTACATTAAATGCAGCCAAAAACTGTACTTTGGCTGGGAACGGTGGCTCATGCCCATAATCCCAACACTTTGGGAGGCTGAGGTAGGTAGATCACTTGAGGTCGGAAGCTCAAGACCAGCCTGGCCAACATGGTAAAACTCCATCTCTACTAAAAATACAAAAAAATTAGCCAGGTATGGTGGCACATGACTATAATCCCAGCTACTTGGGAGGCTGAGGCAGGAGAATCGCTTCAACCTGGGAGGCAGAGGTTGTAGTGAGCTGAGATTGTGCCACTGCACTCCAGCCTGGGTGACAGAGCAAGACTATGTCTAAAAAAAAACCAAAATCAAACAAACGAAAAAAACTCTTGTACTTTGGAAAGCCAAAGGACACTTTGCTTTCTGTAATCAAATATGAAGTCACTCACTGCTAAGACTATGGTCCTGAGCAAAGTGACTCTGCTTATAACTAGTGAGGTCCAAAAGTTGTGGTATGAAGAGGATGCCTGGGAAAGGAGGGAGGAATAAGCCAAACCATTATACAGTTTTTACAGAAGGAGGCTAAAAAGTTATGCAGGTTTCTCTTTTTCTCAAGGAGCTTCCAGCAGTCCTTCCAGAAAAACTCTTATCTTTCAATAAACATGGATTATTCCCCTCTTTCCTAGTGGGAAATAAGGACACTGGGAGATGTGCGAGCCATATAAAAAAGGGTAGAGAAAGGGGAAGTTGGCCCAGCAGTGTAAGGACTACCAAAGGGAATACAAAGGCCCAGATGCATGTCTGTGTGGAAGAAAACAGAGAAAAGACTAAACAGTACAGCATCCCTTGAACATGTTTTGGTTGTGCAAGGCGTAAAGAAAAGTCCTAAGCTTTCCTGAACTAATGGAAAGAATAAGATTATTCTTGGATTTGACTGAACTCTGCTGCTTTAGCTAATGTTTTATAAGTGTCTACATCCTGCCAACTATGGGAAGCTAGGATGTTACCCCAAGCAGTTTACAACTCACCAGAAGCTTTCAGAGAATTCACTCTCAAAGAACAAAAGGCTAAGTTGGAGCAAGAGCCAGTCCCTTCCTCAGGATAAGAATTAACTATAGGACATGCTTCTGGTCAGAGTAAGCAGCCTCTCCTCTCATGTGCAGAGAAGGATGTAGGTGATGATGAGATCAACTTTTCTTTCTTCCCTTTTTTTTAGATAAGAGTTTTGCTCTTGCTGCCCAGGCTGGAGTGCAGTGGCATGATCTCGGCTCACTGCAACCTCTGCCTCCCAGGTTCGAGCAATTCTCCTGCCTCAGCCTTCTGAGTAGCTGGGATTATAGGCACACGCCACCATGCTTGGCTAATTTTTATATTTTTAATAGATACAGGGTTTCACAATGTTGGCCAGGCTGGTCTTGAACTCCTGACCTCAGATGATCCACCCGCCTTGACCTCCCAAAGTGCTGGGACTGCAGGTGTGAGCCACTGTGCCCAGCCCAGGATACCTTTTGTGTCAGCAGCCTTGTTCCTAGTCAGGCCAGGGTGTAGCTGTGGCTGGCAGTGAGGTGTAAGGCAGCCCCTTGCCCCCTCCACCTAGAACTAGCACTGTCGCCACCCTAAATACGCCACAATCCTATTTCTAGAAGCATTTATTTTTGGAGTTCCGTAACAAGATTAAAAAAAAAAAAAGAAAATACCATGTAAATCAAACAAGACAAACCAAACCAAACTTGACGTTGTTCTTAAGCCTGTTATGTAGACTTAAATTTTCAATGACCTTGAAAACTTGAAGTCAGCATGCTGGGAACAGCTGTCATTGAGAATGTGGGCAGCATCCCCTTCTGGGTACCTAACACATGCTCTCCCAAAGCATGGTCTTCAGCCCTGCTTACCTGTCATGTTTATTTTCTTGGGCTGCTCTTAAGAGCTCCTGTATGTTTTTGGTGATCTGTTCGGTCTTCCTGATGACATCTTCCGTGCTAGGGAGAGTGGGGCTTGGGGCCACGTGGGGTTCTGCTGTGTCTGGTACCAAGCCATCGCCTGGCCATACCATACTTCTTTGCCGTCCCTTTCGGCTTGACCTGTGAACATTAAAGATGCAGTTAAACACAGGAGGGGCTTATCAGCTGCTCCTCTGCTTCTAGGAGCCACTTTGTATGCACTGGCTGAATGCCAGCTGAATGCAGGCTGGTCTCTTCGTTTCCTTTATCCTGTCTAGCAGGAGACTCAAGGTAAGGCTCCAAAATCTGCTATTTCATTCTACCACAGAGTTGGAAGTGTTGACTCTCATGGGAAGGGTGAAGGAGGGAAAAAAGGAGGGAAATACCTGGAGCAGGGATGGTGTATGGTTAATAAGCCATCCCCAGGTGGGCCAACTTCTTGGGTTCAAATGCAGAATGTAACCTAATGTTGTCTTCATGATGAAGTGGGGTAATGACTTTAAACACACTTCAGATAGCTAGAGATACATAATGTGCTGGTACAAAGAAAAAGGCCTTTAGGCAATAATGTGAGATGACAAGACAAGTAAACTATGAGCATATGCTTGAATATTTTAAGACTTTATAAGTCTGAAAATAGAGGAAAGGGGTGTGGGTGGTGAACTGCTTCTGCTGGCCCAGGCCTGCCAGGTCTCTGGCCCGGGGGAGTCCCTCCCCTGGTGTGTACGTCCTGCAGATGTACCCTATGCCATCTGGCTCCATGTCGTTGGGAGTGTTGTCATAGTCACTCTCAGGTGTGCTGTTCTGCTTCTCCAGCCTGGATGCCTATAAGAAAGAAGACGGGACCCTCATGAATTTGTAACATGAGACCCTTCTCAGGAGTCTTCCCCAGGAATCATTACCTGTTAGGCTACTGGCCTTCACACCCCAAATCTCATTTGGGACAGGGGCAAACTCTCTAGTGAAAATTTAGTAAAAGATGAACACTGGATCCAGAAATGGCTTCTTTCCTTCTTTGCACCATTTTCTTCTTAGCTCAGTGGCTACTCTGTAATCAGATCCTTGGTACAAACTAACAGAGACATGCAAGGCAACACACCTTCGTCTAGTTCTCAAATTTGTAACATAATGAAATACAGTTAAAATACAGGCAGAGCGTAGTGGCTCAGGCCTGTAATTTCTGTATTTTGGGAGGCTGAGGCAGGACGAATGCTTGAAGCTAGGAGTTTGAGACCAGCCTGGGCAACACAAAAAAAAATATATCAGCCAGGGATGGTGGCATGTACCTGTAGTCCCAGCTCCTTAGGAGGCTGAGGGGACTGCTTGAGCCCAGGAGTTCAAGGTTGTATTGAGCCATGATCACACCACTGTACTCCAGCTTGGGCAACAGAGTGAGACCTTGTCTCAGAAACAAACAAACAAAAAGACATGCCAGCACTTATATGACCACAGACCTTCAGTATTGGAAGCCACGTTCAGATTAAACCCCATATAAGAAAATGAAGGGCCAAAAAAGCTGGTGGCCCACCAAAGGCCACAAAGTCCGCAGAAAAACAGGACAAAGCACCAGGTTTCCTGCCTTCTGCTGCCTTCAATAGTTCATGTCTGGACTCAAATCTACCCCTTAAAATATAAAGATTTAGTACAACTGTGGAGATAAGAATTGGGATATAGATTCAAAAGAGGAATCCTAAAAATGTTTTGAACAAATGGCAGCACTGCTAAAAAGGATCTTTTAGGGTGACAAAATTTGAAGGGGACTATATTCCTTTGAGTGGGACTATGTTCTGAGTATTTCATAAAAACTATTCCCTCAGTATTTATTTTACCCATAATGTTTGAGAATTTCTTTGGAACAGATATCAATGGAGGCTAATTTAAAATCTAAACCAATTACCTTGTAAAATACAAATGTGAGCTATTTCTAGCTTTACTCCTTGAATTTCATCCAAGTTAATCAAAACATGTGACTAAGTAGAGTTTTATTGATGCTGCAATAAAATGTGGCTAAGGACATAGATATAGACTAAGAACTTTGTTTAAACATATGGAGACCCTGTAGCTTCATCCAAAAGAATGATACTTTTGAGTAAACTGGTCTAAGAAGCTCTACATGGCCAAGAGTGGTGGCTCATGGCTAAACGTTGGAGGCCAAGGTGGGCAGATCACTGGAGGCCAGGAGTTTGAAGCCAGCCTGGGCAACATGGTGAAATGTCATCTCTACTAAAAGTACAAAAATTAGCTGGGTGTGGTAGTGGACACCTATAGCCCCAACTACTCGGGAGGCTTAGGTGAAAGGATCTCTTGAGCCTAGGAGGCAGTGGTTGCAGTGAGATGAGATTGCACCACTGCACCCCGGCCTGGGTGACAGAGCTATACCCTATCTCAATTAAAAAAAAAAAAAAAAAGCCTCCATAAAGCCTGACTGTCACTCCTTCCTAGTAGGTACGGGCAAGGCAGCTGGCCCCACGTGGAGGAACCCCACTTACTCACGCCACACTTTGTTTGCTATCCCCATAAACTCTCCTTCTGCTCCCAGGCAGGGCACATGTTCTCCTTCTCTGTCGGTTGAGGTCTTCCATCCACACCTCCACACGTGCTCTGCTCAGTTCCCAGCCACTCAAATACAAGACACTTCCTATGGGCTCCTAAGATTCACTATGAACTCATGCATCCTGCAGCCACTCAAATCCATCTGGCAAATGATTAAATGTTGGCTTGGAACCATATGGGGAGTCTGTAAAGCTAGTTTCTATAGAATCTACAACTTTGATGATCCCTTTGTTTATATCTTCTACCAATAAGTAGTTCTGCTTCTCTTGCTGCATTGTTTTGATCTGGCTTTATGAAGTCAGTGAGTTTGGCTCCCAGAGGTCTGTAACAGGAAGATCATGGGCAAGCACTGTGGTCTTCCAGAGATGAGCTTAGAAAACCAAAAAGAAAGAAACGCTTTGGGAGGCCAAGGTGGGCGGATCACGAGGTCAAGAGATTGAGAACATCCTTGGCCAATGGGTGAAACCCCATCTCTACTAAAAATACAAAATTAGCTGGGTGTGGCGGCATGTCCTGATAGTTCCAGCTACTTGAGAGGTTGAGGCAGGAGAATAGCTTAAACCCACGAGGCAGAGGTTGCAGTGAGCTGAGATCACAACACTGCACTCCAGCCTGGCAGAAAGAAGAAAAGACAGAAAGACAGGGAAAGACGGGGAAAGAGGGAAAGACAGAAAGAAAGAAACAAAGAAAGAACCCCCAAACCCTTCATATCTTTCACAGAAAATACCTTTTTCTTTTTGAGGTGGAGTTTCACTTTTGTTGCCCAAGCTGGAATGCAATGGTGCAATCTAGGCTCATTGCAACCTCTGCGTCCTGGGTTCAAGCAATTCTCCTGCCTCAGCCTCCTGAGGAACTGGGATTACAGGCATGTGCCACCACACCCAGCAAATTTTGTATTTTTAGTAGAGATGGAGTTTCACCATGTTGGTTAGGCTGGTCTGAAATTCCTGACCTCAGGTGATCTGCTCACCTTGGCCTACAAGTGCTGGGATTACAGGTATGAGCCACCACGCCCAGCCAACCTTTTTCTTTTTTTTTTTGAGGCAGGGTTTCGCTCTGTTACCTAGGCAGAGCACAGTGGTGCAATCTCAGCTTGCTGCAACCTCGACCTCCCAGGCTCAAGTGCTTCTCCCACATCAGCCTCCCGAGCAGCTGGGACCACAGGCACGCGCCACCATGCTCAGCTAATTTTGTATTTTTTTTTTTTTGTAGAGACGAGGTCTCACTATGTTGCCCAGCCTGATCTCAAACTCCTGAGCTCAAGTGATCCTCCAACTTTGACCTCCCAAAGTGCTGGGATTATAGGTGTAAGCCACCTGGCCCTAACTAACGTTTAACTTTTGTTTTGGTTTTTATATATACACTCACACATAGGTGTGTGTGGATACATACACACATATATGAATAGATAAAAAAACTTGCATTTAAGTAATTATACTGAAAAATTTGCCCAGAGCTGCTCCAGTGGAAAACAATCTAGAAACAGAATTAAACCCAGAAAATTCTACATTTTATAATGAATCTTTTTGCCTTCCCTGATGAAAATGTGATAATCACAAATCAAATGCACTACCCTCGATGATCAAAAGTACCAAGTTTCATTTAAACATTTTAGAAGAGTAGTGACTCATATACCTAATGAATACATTCAGTAAATGTTTCTCAAGTATGGAAAACAACATATAGCAGCAACCACCCAGGAAATCAGTTACTTACAGGTTAGTTAATTTCTTCACCGTTGTCAACAAAAGCATAGGTACAGAATTTCAGTGTAGCAGCATTTAATTGTATCAAAATTATTATAAACATGCAGAGCCAAAAGCTATTAGTTAAGAGTGCTGCTCTCCCAAAGCTGTTAATACGAAGGTTACCTTATAGCTGGTGCTGGTTCAATTTACTTAATAGATTTGCAGTTTTCTCTGAATAAAGACACGCCATAAAAATCTAGACTCATGATAAAGCTGTCAGGAACAATCAGGGTGATCAGTTTAAATGATTTTTATACAAAACTTTGTCTCAGTAAGCAGTCCTTGCAATGATTTTCAAATTTGCTACCATAACAAATTAAAAAACAAAACAATTTCACAGTAACCAAAAGAGGTTTGACTTACAAAATTTGTAATCAGATATTTAACTGTCTAACTGTCCTTTAGTTGTAATTCGGATTTTCTTTTCTTTCCTTTTTTTTTTCTTTTGAGATGGGAGTTTCAATCTTGTTGTAATGGTGCGATCTTGGCTTACTACAACCTTTGCCTCCTGGGTTCCAGCAATTCTCCTGCCTCAGCCTCCCAAGTAGCTGAGATTACAGGCACATGCCACCACACCTGGTTACTTTTGTATTTTTAGTAGAGACAGCGTTTCTCCATGTTGGTTGGGCTGGTCTCAAACTCCTCACCTCAGGTGATCCACCCGCCTTGGCCTCCCAAGTGCTGGACTATAGGTATGAGCCACTGCACCCAGCATAACTGGGATATTTTCATGAAAACATTACAGTTCAATTTCAGAACTGCTCAGGTGACTTTTTTTTTTCTTGAGACAGAGTCTCACTTTGTTACCCAGGCTGGAGTGCAGTGGTGTGACCTCAGCTCACTGTAACCTCCACCTCCCAGATTCAAACAATTATTGATTCTTGTGCCTCACCTTTCCAAGTAGCTGGGATTACAGGCATGCACCACCACGCCTGGGTAATTTTTGTATTTTTAATAGTTTTGTATTTTTAGTGGAGACGGTTTTGCCATGTTGGCCAGGCTGGTCTCAAACTCCTGGGCTCAAGTGATCCAGCTACCTCGGCCTCCCAAAGTGCTGGGATTACAGGTATGAGTCACTTAACTTTAAGTACAATTTATCAAGAATTCTTTTTTTTTTAATTTAGTATAATAATATTTCTTTTTTTTGAGATGGGGTCTCACTGTATTGTCCAAGCTGGAGTACAATACCACAATCATGGCTCACTGCATCCTTGACCTCCAGTGTTGAGCTCAAGTGATCCTCCCATCTCAGTCTCCCAAGAAACTGAGACTACAGGTATGCATTACCACACCCAGGTAATTTTTTACATTTTTTGTAGAGGTGGGATTTTGCCATGTTGCCGAGGCTGGTCTTGAACTCCTGGGCTCAAGCAATCCACCTGCTTAGGCCTCCCAAAGTATGTGGGCCACTGCACTCAGCCAAGATTTCTTAATAGACTACTTCGCAAGTGAAGTAAAGAATTCCAAAGGGGTCAGGGCGCAGTGGCATGTGCCTGTAGGGTCAGGACGTGGCAGCACATCTCAGCAACTCAGGAGTCTGAAGCAGGAGGACTGCTTGAGCCCAGGAGTTTGAGGCTGCACTGCGATATGACCATGCCTGTAAACAGCTACTATACTTCAGACTGGGCAACATAATGAGACTCTATCTCTGAAAAATGAAAAAACAAATCCTGAAAGGGCCTTGGTGATCCATATGCCACTGGAAATAGGAAAGAAAGGTTCTCCACCATTCCTAGGTGTAGAGGGAATGGCAAAGGCCCAGTGCAAATCCCACCTTACCAATACCCAGCTTCCTCCTCTAACCTTAGTTACATTATCCTTCCATTAAAAAATAGATGGAGCCAGAATTGGGACAGGGATTTTTCTTTTTAAAGCCTACAGCACATGGTATTCTCAGGAGGTCTCCCATCCAAGTACTAACCAAGCCCAACCCTGCTTAGCTTCCAAGATCAGACGAGATCGGGCACATTCAGGGTGGTATGGCCTTAGACGGGACATGAATTTTCAAAGCCTGTGCTCTGTCCATGGCTTTCCCAGGATGTGGGTATGTACCACTCTTTGTGAATGAAAGTTTTGTTTTTTGTTTTTTGTTTTTTGAGATGGAGTCTCACTCTTGTTGCCCAGGCTGGAGTGCAATGGCATGATCTCGGCTCACTGCAACATCTGCCTCCTAGGTTTAAGCGATTCTCCTGCCTCAACCTCCTGAGTAGTTGGAATTACAGGCATGCACCACAATGCCCGGCCAATTTTTATATTTTTAGTAGAGACAGGGTTTCTCCATGTTGGTCAGGTTGGTCTCAAACTCTCAACCTCAGGTGATCCACCCGCCTCAGCCTCCCAAAGTGCTGGGATTACAGGCATGAGCCATTGCGCCTGGCCCATGAAGGTATTTTTTAAACGATAGTGCCTTTGGGAGCAGGGATTGTGCCACCTAAGTCCTTAGGACCCTTTCATTGACTTACCAAAAGGCTGTATATGCAGAAGTGCTTAATAAATACTGCCTGACTACTCTAAAAGGGGCTTATCTAAATCATGCACTGCTATTGAGACCGTAAATTATATACCAGTAGGTGGGGTTTAACCAATCCGTACAAGTGAACAGCTTTATGCTAACAGCTGCTTAGACAGGTCCAATGCCACGAGATATTACAATTCTGATTCAAGATGCAGGGACTTATAAACCTTGGTTTGTCAAGTATGGTGCTGACATAAAATGTGTCACAGGTTTAAAAAAAAAAGGTATAACATTTTAGTACTTCAGTGAGTCCACATATAGCAGTTTCAGTCTGACAACTGTAGCTCTGAACAAATTGAACAGATCTGTTCCATTATAATATCTAACCAGCAGCCAGCTAATTTTCTGGTTCGTTAAAAAGACAGTATGCTCAGAATAAATGCTGTAGGGTGATTTGCAAACTTTGTTAAATATGATGTGAACATGAGCACTGTGGGGTTAGAGAAAGGGAGGCGCCCCTCAATGGGTGAGCGTGTGTGTGTGCACAAGTGTGCACCTGATCCACTGTGAGAATCCAGGAGGGAAGCGCTGCCTCATGCAGGATGGAAGGGCAGTTAGCAAGGGACAAGGGACAGGAGGGCCAGAGCCCAAGCACAAAGCGCCCAGGAGCATGGCTCCTCCTCCAGAGCGCAGACCATTCAGAATGTACTTAACCCTTCGGGCGCTTTCATCCCTCGACCAGGAAAGTGTGGAGGGGAAGGAAGGCAGAGATGAAGAGGAGGTCACAAGCGCACTCCTCCCGATCTGGAATGGGAAAGAGAAACACACTTGGGAAAATACAAAACAAACCAAAACCTACCACCTCAGCACCTTCAGTAAAAGAATCCTAGAATACCACACACTATGTGACATGAGTGCTGTAATTTCAGTGACAGCTGGTGATAGGGCCCCCAGAGATGTTTAAACTCTTGGTGAAACACCTCCTGAAAATTACTCTAAATTTCATAAAGGCTGCTTTTCCATTAGGGAATAAAGATAATACCTAACATAATTTGTCAAACTTGTCAATAATTTTTTTTAATGGATAGTGTGAAAGGCCTGTTTCTTTTTGAATCAGGACTGATGTGAAATGAGAAACTATACAAATGATTCTAAGTTGCTATACACTATCAATCTAAGTTTTAGTACAGTTATAGAGCCTTCCTGATATGATATCCTTATATTCTAAATTTTTCTAAAATTAAAGAGTACAGTGAAAAATAACAAAGCTGCTTTTCCTAAATTTTGTCTTCAGGTATACAAAAATAAGATTCTTAACTTAGGCTGGGCATGGTAGCTCACGCCTGTAATCCTAGCACTTTGAGAGGCTGAGGCGGGCAGATTGCCTGAGCCCAGGAGTTTGAGACCAGCCTGGGCAACATGATAAAACCCCATCTCTACTAAAATACAAAAAAATTAGCTGGGCACTGCAGTGTGCGCCTGTAGTCCCAGCTACTCAGAAGGCTGAGGCAGAAGAACTGCTTGAACCCAGGAGGCAGAGGTTGCAGTGAGCCAAGATCACACACTGCACCCCAGCCTGAGTGACAGAGTGAGACTCTGTCTCAGAAAAAAAAAAAAAAGAAAAAAGATTTTTAACTTAGTTTAATGGCATTCCCTTTACATCAAATATATAAAATCAATTGACTTAGAATGTTAAACCAAATATCTTAAAAAGAATTTGGGATAACAAGACTCCCAATTACAGTAAAGTAATATTGTAATTTGTACCACAATGAAAATTGACAAAATTAAACTAGGGCTTAATTTACGAAACCTTGTCTTTGCTTTGCATCTACCTTGAGAATTTTTTTGAAAATTCTCATAAAATTTGACTAAAGAAATAGTAACTTTTGACACTCAAAAAGACAAAATATTACTCTGAAAAAGCATCACATGAAAAAGTTTAAACTTTGTGACATCTTGGGCAAAACATGTATTTTTATAATAAAGTAATCCAGAAGAAATACATTTGAAAACCTTACAACATAATATGTATCTCAAAGCAAAATAAGATTGTGAGAACCCTGCTACAGGACACAATCTCTGGAATTCAGCACTTCTAAGACTGATGTAGAGCATTACATCTCCTTTTCTGAGATGACAAAGCCACACTTCCCCCACCACAGGGGAGGAGCAGGGTGCAGAAGCGTACCTAGCAGCACACTGAGCGCAAGTGGAGAGGCTGCGGAGGCCTGGAGCCTTATAGACTCGCTTGGGTACCCTACCTGGGCCACAGACTCAAGGCCAGCTGCTTGAGGAGGAGCTGAAAAGGCATCTGAGATTCTAAAGGCTCCAGTCCTTAAAGGAACACATCCCTGTCTAGCTCCAAGAAGGAGACACTTCCTTCTGAGAGTGACCTTTATGATTTATTTTTGTTTTTGTTTTTGGAAGTGGGGAAGGAAGGAAGCTTTACTAAAAAAAGTTCACACAGTGGCTGCTTGAGAAATAATCATGGATACGGGGGAGAAAAAAAGGAGCGGTTCAGGCAAGAGCCAGAATCCCCAACTTGGTTAGGAAACCATCAGCTCCTGGCCCTGTGTGCTTGTGGGAACATCGCAAGCATCTGTTGACATGTTAATACAGCAAACACGATGGTACCTCTCTTAGCCCGATTTGGCAAAGCAGAGGTGTAGGGACCTGCAGGTTCAGAAGAGGGAACAGAGTAGTCAGGCTGCACAGAGTGAACAGCGGAAGCGCCAGTGGTGTTACTTACGTGCGTGGGGAAGGGCTGGAGTCTCGTCCTGCTCTCTTCGGGGCGGCTCGCTTCTCCCATTGGGAGATACGGTTTCTGACCTGATCCGGTCTCATACATGGACATGGGCCTACTGCCCCGGGCAGATGGACGTCTCTTTAAGGAAGAGTGGTTGGAAGTGTCTGTGTACTCAGAACCAGTTTGCACCTGATATATATTGGTTGTGGCCTGTTTCCTGAGGTTCGAATTTTCACTCTGGAGTGTTTGAAGCTGAAAGAAATGTTTGGCAGTGGGACTGTGTTTTTTTATAGCAAGCAGAAAAAGCAAACACCAAGTAAATGAATACAACTACCAGTTTTAAACAATAAGGACAGTAACAGCTAGCTGGGCTAAAAGTAAAAAGCCAGTACACACAAGGACCCTTTCTTCTGGATTGGGTGAGACATAGTCAACTCCCTTCATCACATAAACAAATTAAATAGCTTCATTTCTGAATCCAGAAAAGTTATGGTTTGGACTTCCTAAAAACAAAATGTCTAACCACTTAAAAATTTGTCATGGTGGGGCTGGGAAATGTTTGCAGGCAAGCTGTACTCTGGATTATTCTAAGGCTGTTTCAAGCAAGAGCTTGAGATCATTAAATCATCATTTAGGTCACTTGCTTTTCAGATGAGCCCCTAGCAATTTGCAAAGGCCAAAAATGACAGCAGACACCATGGAAGCAGCACAAAGATGACTAGGGTTGCTTTGCAAAGCAAGAAAGACAGTGAAGTTCAGCTTACGAAAAATCAGATCGGCTACTGCTTTCCAAAAAGCCAACAAGAAAAATTATAATCAACAAGTTTTTATTACATAATACTCTTGATATTCCAAACAACTCAGCACTTTGTTAAAAAAAAAAAAAAAAAAAAAAAGAGAGAGAGATAGAAACCAAATCATGGTACGTTTGCTATATTAACACATCACAAAGAGAACTGGAAACCTATTGATCTATGATCGACATCTTCGCATGGATGCTCCACGCAGCACGCTTGCTTCCGTCTGGTGAGTGATCATCTTTCGGCAAGGGCTGGAATATTTGGCCTTTCTCTCCTTTGGCTTTGTCACCCAAAAAACACGACCTCGGTGGTGTCAGCTTTGAACACGCTAATCTGCCTGGCACCACCCCATTTTAGGGACTGTCACTTGGAGGCCCTGAATGTTCCTTCCATTCCTCACATGCAGGCTGCTTCATGGTGCTGGATGGATTAGAGTTAAGGGGTCAGCAAGGAATCGTGTTACTCTTTGGCATCTGGCATTTTAAACACCATTAACTGCGTCCATTCTGCACAGGGTCCTTCCCTTCTGGTGCGCCTTCATCTTCCATGGGCATTTTATAAGCTGGGTGTGGTAATGAGTTCAGCTGTCTACTCTTTGACAGATACTGTAAAATCTGACCAAATTCCCCACCAGTGCCAAGGTTTAAGTCCACAAGCAACTGTCTGCACCAGAAGATCATTACTGTTTCAGTAGCAAACCCATTCAATGTTAGGAGTTACTTTCAATTATTTAGAGAGCACCAATCTGTGAAAAATACACCAATAGTAGTTGCTCCTCTTCATTAATTAGCATCTTTTCCAAGCAACTGTTAAATGTGAAAGATCAGATACAAATCATGCTCCTTTGTCAACTTGATGCATATTAAAAAAACTTTACCTAACTTTGAAATAAAATCAACACATCTTTGCTAAATAAACAAATTCCATATACTTTATATTAATCATGCCAAACCGCTGTGAAAGTGTGATTTACTGCCTCTTTCACAAAAAGACCACTCATTCTGTTTCCTTGAAGAGCAAGCCATTACAGAATGATAGACTGCTTTTATACCACAAAGGCTGGCAGGGTATAACTCATATCTGCAATTTCCTTTCCAGAGAAAGAACAGCTGCAAAGTGACAAAGCAGCCCTGAACGTTTCTACATTCCAGGATACAGACAGGCATGAAGTGCCTGTTGAAACTATTCATTAGAGAACCCAGAGCCTAGAGTGAAATGGTCAACGTTCAAAGACTGAGGCGTGTACCTGACACACGTCCCTCAATGGGGCACTGGTGCATCTGATCACATTTGTCTGTGTAAAAAGCCTCTGTGGCAGTTTTTTAGTTAAGGCCTTGAAATCTGAAACTTTATCCTAACACTTTTCATGCCTAGATTTTGTCTGAATGTGTTCTCATGAGCACAAGTTGCTGGTTTCAATTTCTAAAAATTTTGATACTCTGAATTTAGAGAGACAGTCTCAGATAAATTTTAATGATGTTTATCTTAATAAGAACCAGGCTACACTTTTTTGTTTGGAAGGAGTATAAGGGAAAATAAAAAGTTATAGACAATTCAATAGTTTCAAAAATCAAAAGCATTTCTTTTTTTTTTTTTTTTTGAGACGGAGTTTCGCTCTTGTTACCCAGGCTGGAGTGCAATGGCGCGATCTCGGCTCACCGCAACCTCCGCCTCCTGGGTTCAGGCAATTCTCCTGCCTCAGCCTCCTGAGTAGCTGGGATTACAGGCATGAGCCACCATGCCCAGCTAATTTTTTGTATTTTTAGTAGAGACAGGGTTTCACCATGTTGACCAGGATGGTCTCGATCTCTCGACCTCGTGATCCACCCGCTTCGGCCTCCCAAAGTGCTGGGATTACAGGCTTGAGCCACCGCGCCCGGCAAATCAAAAGCATTTCTAAGAACTGATGAGATAATCAATAAGCAATGGCAAATAATTTCACTTTGTATTTCTCAAAGAGGTTCAAGACATTTGCTTTCAGAGATATGAGGCTCTCTCTGGTGATTTCCAAAAATACCAAAAGAAGCATTATTAGATTTTAAAAGGTGATGTGCAGCAGATTGATTTATAGTGGCAAAATCAGCATGTTTCAGAAATAGTCACCTGGTCAAAATTACTAGTCCAATTAATGGGACAAACTATAATTCATTAAATAAAATATATTTCAAAGAAGGCATAGAAAGTGCAGGTCCTGCATGTTATGACAAAGGGGCTCTTGGTTTGTCTCATTTACAGTTGCACGGCAGTCCTAGACAGGGCTGGGAGACATAGAACAAGTCTGTTCATTTAAGGCTGACTAATCTTCAGGCATTCTTCATTCCCTGCTACTACAGGCTTTGGAGCCATTTATTTCAAAAAGTCTCAAAAATGCTCTAGAATTCAACATCAAAAGAATCCTAGGCCAAACCCCAGGCAAAAGTGCAAAGCAATTTCCTTCTCTAGTAAGTAGAGGGCATGGGCCCCTCTTTAGTTCTTCAACCTTCCTTTAGGAAGCAGCACTGAAAAGGGGCCAGGCACACATGGAGTATACCATGTCTTCAGGTCTTGAAAATGATTTGAAAACCTTACTTCTCAAATGACAGCCTAATATAGATTATATATTTCATTTTGTTTCTAGTTAAGGAAAGTGTCCAAATCTCATTTTAGAACTGAATGATGGGAGGATACCCACAAAGTCATGGGCAAAATTTGGAATTTTTTGAATTCCCTTCCTTAGCCTTCTCATAGAGTTGCATACACAATCCCTCTCCTACTAAAGGTATTCCTTGCTACCATCAGCCACACTCCTTTTAGGGATTAATATATTCATACAGGTCTGATCCTCTTGAAAGGTAATAAATGAAAAAATACTGAGCAAATGAGATTGTTTTATACCAGTGCGTATCTCCTGCTAGTACAAATGAAATGTTTTTTCTTATTTTTTGAGAACCTACTCTGTGGCAGGCCCTGCTGTAGGCTCTGGGGATAATACAAGTTAGTAGTAAAAACTGGTGAAAAATAAGGTGGGGATGTGGGATAGTGCTGCCAGGGTGGGGGCAGGGTTTGAATGCTGATAAACACATGTCCCTGCCCAGCGCTCTCATTGGCTCTGTCTCCACGGTGTGATCATTATTCCCTAGCAATGAAAAGAATCACATCCATGGAGTGCCATCCAGGTTTCCAGGAAGCACAGAATAGTGCAAGGGTTATTCTAATGGGCACAAATGCCTAAATAGAATGTTAGGTTTCTCCTACCTGGGGAACTTATTCTGGATATATTTCATTTCAAATATCCAAATACATCCTGCTTCAAAAAGACAACTTGGCCCAAAAGATTTGTAATAGACTGTTATGATAACAGTTTTTCTTCCCTCGGACCACATCACAGTGCCTGGGATTCTTCCTTATACTATGGGATTAAAGCGTCAACCGTCCTGGCATTTATTAACATGTTACCTTTTTCTGCATAATTCTCAGCTCGTCACTCAAGTTGTTATTCACCTTCATTAGCTGCTGTATCTTGGCCTCAGAAGCCACTAGAGCGTTTTTGACCTCCATAAATTCCTGTACAGTGACTGGTCCATCTGATAAATCTGAATCTAGGCTCTAAAAATAAATTGGGGAAAACGTTCACAATCTGAGACGACGAGAACATTAAAGTCTAACAGCTCAAGAATTTCAAATTCTGACCAAGCCAGCTGAATTGCAAAGTTGTCAAACCAAATCAAGGCCTCTGAGGGTCACTATCCTATTTAAAAAATTGGAAAGTCAGTATTTTCTAATGGAATAGGCAGTGGGGCTACACATCTGTGCTGACAATGAGTGTCTAAGGAGGTCTGTCCTGTCTTGTAAGCCTTTCTCTCGTTCACTCGTTTCGTTTTTATTAATTCTTTTATTAATTCATTCATTCCAACATTTTCACTGAATATTAGATAGTGTTCTAGGTGCTTGGGATATATCAGAAAAGACACAAAGATTCCTACTTCCATGGTGTTTATATCCCAACAGCATGATAGAGGAAAAAAATAAATATAAGTATATATATTGTATGATTGACGACGATGAGTGCTGTGGGAAAAGATAAGGCAGAGCAGGGCAGGGGACTGCATGTTAAGCGGGGAGCTGGGGTAAGCCTGTGAGTGGGTGAGAGGTGAGCAGAGCCCCGGGAAGTGAGGGGATCAGTTACATGGATCCAGAGGAAGAACATTCCAGCCTGCAGTGGAGCTCAGCTAGAGGGAGCAGGTGTGTGGGATGGAGCAGGCAGGAGGCCAGGCAGTTGACAGAGGGCCTGGTCACAGAGGGTCCTGGAATGACCTCGGCTCTCAATTAGTAAGCCAAGTGGCTTCCAAGAAGTCTGGGCAGAAGTATCCCCTGCATCTGCTAATGGGCGCCATCTTTCTCACAGTCATGTGGGCCAGAGAACTCTGAACACATCTTCTATAAGTCTGTCTCCCCATTTCAACCTTCTGACTTATTGCCAAGACTTTTCTATTCTACCTTCCCATTCATCCATTCTCAAATGATTGCCAAGCCCCCTCCATGGGTGAGTCCTGCGGATCAGCAGAGGGTGCACAGCCTGGGGCCCTGCCACCCTCTTGCTGGCTCACACTCTGGTGCCGAGGTCTCTCCCACCTGTACCATCCTAGCCTGGGTCCTGGGGTGGCCTGCATCAGCTCCTGTTTGGATCTCTCCCTCCATTCTCTAACCCACCAGAATAGTCCTCCCCAGACATGGCATCCTGGGCTCTGCACTGCCCACAAGGCCCATGCTCTTCCGTCTGGCGTCATACCCTTCTGGCTGCAGCTTCGAGTCCCATCCTTTTTAGGCTGTCCCTATGCATGACCAGCCTCCCCTTAGATGCCCTGATTTCACTTTCTTTCTGCCTCTTCCACATGCCCCAATCCCAAGCATCCCCTGAGGCACATCTTAAGGGCCGTCCCATGACACAGTCCTCCCTGATGCTCCCAGCCATAGGTTCTCTCTCTGCTCACTCCCTTAGCCTGTGTGTGCTTCATATGACACACATCACTTTGTGCCTCCTCCTGCAGTTCTCTCCTAAGCAGTGAGATCCTCACAGGAAAGGGTCGAGCCTCATTTAGGAGAGTAATATCCAGAGAAGTTACTCAGTAAACACTTGTGGAAAGAATATAACACACCAATCACTCCTCACAAGTTTTATAAAGTCTCAGCTGCAGCAGGGCTGTGATGCAGGGACAAGGACCCCTATTTTAAAACCATTTAACCTTGTTTCACCTTTGCTTGGCCTGAGCTAGTAGCAACCCAACCTCACTGCAGAGCAGCTTTGGCAGGGATAGCCCTCAGCTGATGCATGCATGCCCTTCTGTGGGACACACGGCCTCTCACCTTCTGCCGGTTTGCTTTGCTTGCAGTGGTTTCCAAGTCCGTGTCTTCATCTGATGCCACACTGTCATAGTCGGGCTGGTCGTTGTCTTGACTCTCAATGCTGTGCTGGTTATTGATTGTTCTCAGTATGAGCTCCACATTTTCTAATAATAAAAGCAAACAACTTTACTTCAGGCTTAAAACAATGCTTTTCTTCCAAAAGACTACCAAAAGGATTTCATTGGTTTAACCATTTAAATGACTTAAAGGACTTGAATGCTGTGGCTCTCTGTCTGTAATCCCAGCACTTTAGGAAGCCAAGGAGGATAACTACTTGAGGCTAGGAGTTTGAGACCTCCTAGGTAACATAATGAGACTCTATCCCTACAAAAAAAATTTTTAATTTTAGCCAGGCCTGGTGGTACACGCCTGTAGTCCCAGCTACTAGCTACTTGGGAGGCTGAGACAGGAGGATCGCTTGAGCCCAGGAGATTGAGGCTGCAGTTAACCATGATTGCACCACTGTACTCCAGCCTGGGCATCAGAGTGAGGCCCTGTCTCTAAAAGCAAAAACAAAGTAAACAAGGACTGAAAGAAAATGTTATATTCACACCAATATAGAGGTAACAGAAAACGTTTTCAACCAGGTGGACAGCTACATAGAGAGACTTCAGCATTCCTCTCATCTACCTGCCAAATATGAGCAAATTAAACAAATGGATTACGAAGAAACTGCTCAGATAAAGGAGGAAGGTTCCCAAGTTTCTAGAGATAGAACCTACCTTCAGGTCATGACAATAAGGCTGTAGGTAATGGAAGATAAAACTGTAATTTGATTAACACCTGTAACATGTTTACAAGGTAATGTCAATCAAAACAGAAAGCAAATTGTTAAACTGGAGCCCAGAACTGAGGCACTCAAAGAATAGGAACATTGGCATTTAGTCAGTCACCTGCATCTCAGTGAAAAGAGATAGAGGAGAATGAATAAAACGAATACACATGTGCATGTGAAAGGGAGTGTCTATTCCATAGGGGAGCAGGGATGATTCTACAGCCTCTAACACACTTTGAACAAAAGATTTCACAAACTACCCAAGTCTCCCTGATTTCTTTCAGGCAACTCAAACTAACCTCTAACTTCTGTTTCCCAGAGATGTTGAGGAAACAACGGATGGATGATAACTGAGTGATGAATTGTGGTTATTTAAAAGGAGTAGGTCCTAGCCTGGCATATCCCAGCACTTTGGGAGGCCAAGGCAGATGGATCACTTGAGGTCAGGAGTTTGAGATCAGCCTGGCCAACATGGCAAAACCTCATCTCTACTAAAAATACAAAATTTAGCCAGCATGGTGGTGCACATCTATAATCTCAGCTACTTGGAAGGCTGAGGCAGGAGAATCACTTGAGCCTGGCAGATGGAGGTTGCAGTGAGCCGAGATTGTGCCATTGCACTCCAACATAGGTGACAGAGCGAGAGTCTGTCTCAAAAAAAGAATAAAAATAAAAATTAAATAAATAATAGCTCCTATTTTAGCTTTCTAAATTAAAAGTTTAAAGCACATAAATATAATGATTACAGAAGTTATAGTCAATACAATTTAGAAACTAATGAACAAGTAAGATAATCACTTATAGCCGTTGTTATTTGTTGATCTATTTCTTTCTAGTTTTTTTTCTGAGTACTTATATCAATCCACACAGTCAATTCTTGTTATTCTTGGTAGTTATGCTCTAAAAAGTTGCTGTGAATTGGCCAATATTAAATTGGTGCTCCTGGGGAAAATAGAGAGTTAGGTTCCTAAGAGCCTCTGGTCACATTTTCATCAACTGATCAATACATAACCTTGTTCTATGTGTGTTTCTGTTTAAAGACACCTTATTTAACACATATTATTGATTCATTAATATTGAACTCATGGCTAACAGGACTATAAATCATGCCTGAATGATGCTTATTTAACAAACATTTTTCCATAGAGCATATCACAGCCTTCTTGCACTTAGAAACACTAGACATTGCTTCAGCCCTATGCTTGGAGGCCATTTTTTTTTTTTTTTTTTTTTTTGAGATGGAGTCTCAGTCTGTCGCCCAGGCTGGAGTACAGCGGCATGATCTTGGCTCACTGCAACCTCCACCTTCTGAGTTCAAGCAATTCTCCTGCATCAGCCTCCAGAGCAGCTGGGGTTACAGGTGCATGCCACCATGCCCAGCTAATTTTTGTATTTTTAGCAGAGACAGAGTTTCATCATGTTGGCCAGGCTGGTCTCAAACTCCTGACCTCATGATCCACCTGCCTCGGCCTCCCAAAATGCTAAGATTACAGGCATGAGCCACTATGTCTGACCTTTTTCTTTCTTTTTTTTTTTTTTGGAGATAGGGTCTCACTATGTCACCCAAGCTGAAGTGCACTAGCATAATCATAGCTCACTATAGTTTCTAACTCTTGAGCTGAAGTGATCCTCCTGCCTCAGCCTCCTGAGTATGTAGGACTACAGACATGTGCCAACACACCTAGATAATTTTTAGATTTTTTGGTAAAGATGGGGCCTTGCTATGTTGTCCAGGCTTGGACACTTTTGAGACAGTGTCACCCAGGCTAGAGTGTAGGCATGATCATGGCTCATTGCAGCCTCAACCTCCTGGGCTCAATAAATCCTGGGGCCATTTTTAAACAGTGAAATCACCAATGAAAAGCACACAAATGTGAATAGCATGGCACTAAATAGACCACTGACACTTGCTTATAACCTGAGTGCAGAAACAGGAAGTCAAGGAGTCTCCTCCCTGTTCAACCTCAGCTGTGAACATGTGCTTTTGGTGACTCAATTTTCTCGATGCTCTGGACATTTCTTAGAATAACCCTGAAAATGCTGTATTAGTTTTGAGGTTACAAATAAATTTTAGGAAGCAGATGAATTTGCAAATACGGAATGTGCACATAAGGATAAACTGTATATTTATACTTACAGGTGGTATCTCACTTGTACACATATATTTACATAAATATGTTTTCCATACAAAATTGGGGTTACACGAAACCTTTTAAAAACTTTATTACAAGGCTGGGCACAGTGCTTCACACCTGTAATCCCAGCACTTTGGGAGGCTGAGGCAGGCAGATCACCTGAGGTCGGGAGTTCGAGACCAGCCTGATCAAATGAAGAAACCCCATCTCTACTAAACATACAAAATTAGTTGGGCGTGGTGGTGCATGCCTGAAATCCCAGCTACTTGGGAGGCTGAGGTGGGAGAATCATTTGTACCCAGGAGGCGGAGGTTGTGGTGAGCCAAGATTGAGCCATTGCACTCCAGCCTGGGCAACAAGAGCGAAACTTCGTCTCAAAAACAAAACAACTTCATTATTTGGTCTCCTGGGGATGGCCAGGCACGGTGGCTCAGGCCTGTAATCTTGGCCAGGCACAGTGGCTCATGCCTGTAGTCTCAGCACTTTGGGAGGCCACGGCGGGCAGATCGCTTGAGGCCAGGAATTTGAGAATTGCCTGGCCAACATGGAGAAACCCCATCTCTATTAAAAAAATACAAAAATTAGCTGAGGCATAAGAATCACTTGAGTCTGGGTGGCAGACGTTGCAGTGAGCCAAGATCATGCCACTACACTCTAGCCTGGGTGACAGAGTAAGACTCTGTCTCAAAAAAAAAGAAAAAAAAAAAAATCAAACTTTATTACTTTATCTCATATAATTACTATTATAGTATAGATGTTTGTTCCCTCCAAATCTCATGTTGAAATGTGATCCACAATGTTGGAGGGGAGGCCTAAAGGGAGGTGTTTGAGTCATGGGGGTGGATCCTTCATAATGCTCCTCCCTTGGTAGTCAGCATAAGCCATCGCGCCCAGGCCATTTTAAGACTTTAAACTTATGCAAAGACTCTTTTCTCTGTGCCTTCACCAAAATCTAATAAACCTTTTCAGAACTTCCTTATTCCTGGTTGAACAGATAAAATCAAATTCTTGAATAGGCAAGAAGAATGAATGAGTTGTTATCAGTTAATGATTATTGTCTTTGGAGAATGTGATATTGACTGAAAACTTTTTTTTTTTTTTGAGACGGAGTTTTGCTCTTGTTACCCAGGCTGGAGTGCAATGGCGCAATCTCGGCTCACCGCAACCTTCACCTCCTGGGTTCAGGCAATTCTCCTGCCTCAGCTTCCTGAGTAGCTGGGATTACAGGCACGTGCCACCATGCCCAGCTAATTTTTTGTATTTTTAGTAGAGACGGGGTTTTACCATGTTGACCAGGATGGTCTCGATCTCTTGACCTCGTGATCCACCCGCCTCGGCCTCCCAAAGTGCTGGGATTACAGGCTTGAGCCACCGCGCCCGGCCGTGAAAACTTAATTTTTATGGTACATATTTCTTTTGCTTAAATGATTTACAATGAAAAATATCTAATTTCTATAATTTAAAAAAACCAGTATGGATGCAGTAACAGGGCTGAGGAGGAAAGACATTCCTAAGCATGCAGACAGGACCTGGGCTACTGAATGAGACTCAACAGGGCACCTGTGAAACAGATGTTCAGGGCTTTCCTTATAATTGTGTATCACAGTAATTCTCACTGAAGACACTTAAAAGTTTACAACAACAAATTTTAATTACGTTGAACTCAGTTTTGTAGGTAAGCAACAGCAGATATTATATGGTTTCAATCAAGAAGAGTTTATTTTCTTGTGTCCTGTAAACAAGATCTAAGTCAGACTTTTGGGTTAATTTCAGGATGCAATTTTATAGGAAAGGTAAATGACCCAAAATAAGACAGAGATCATATATAAGATAAATACGAGTAGCAGTTAGTAACTCTGAAATATTTTTAATTCACCAGGGCTCAGACAGGCAAACTATTTATCACAATATGCTACCAATACAACTTATAGGGGTAGGGGTTGATGGGAGGGAACCTAGAGGACAGGTCATAGGTGCAGTAAACCACCATGGCACATGTATACCTATGTAACAAGCCTGCACATTCTGCACATGTATCCTGGAACTTAACAAACAGAAAAACAAAAACTTACAGAACTTTAAGCTGTCATGTTGATGACTACTTTAATTAGTTTACAACTTTGAATTTAACACGTGAGTCCAATTTAGAAGGCCAAAAATGCAAATGTTTAGAGGTTTGAGCAGTTACCTTTTGAACCCGAGAGAGAACTGCCCTGCTGTCTCCTCTTGGCGTCACTGAGAATGTCAATGACCAGTGTGGCAAACTCATGGGCGTTGAACCGAGCTAACTTCTGTCTGCCCTAAAGGTGGGAAAATAATTAGAAATATTCCCCAGTGTAAAAATACATACATAAATAGTCACATAAAACTAGTCAGACTATTGACAGACTTCTGCAAAGACCTTCTTCTGGCATTATCAAAGTACAATTAATCCCGGCCATAATCAAACCAAGTCAATGCTTGTTTTTCCGTGTGAACAGTTTAAAACCATTTATATAAGAGAACTCCATAACATTTAAGTTCTCACAATGCATATCTATTTTGGTAAGCAAAAATAAAATGGTTCTACTGAATGTTTTTCTTCTATTATTGATTCAGTTTGGAAGTAGACCCAGTAATGAGAAATTAATTTTGAGGGGAATTTTTAAATTAATTTTGAGGGTGCAGTGGCTCATGCCTATAATCCCAGCACTTTGGGAGGCTGAGGTGGGAGGATCACTTGAGATCAGGAGTTTGTACACAAATTAGCCAGGCTTGGTGATGGGTGCCTGTAATCCCAGCTACTCAGGGAGGGTGAGTCAGGAGAATAACTTGGGTCCGGGAGGTAGAGGTTGCAGTGAGCTGAGATGGCACCACAGCACTCTAGCCTGGAAGACAGAGCAAGACTCCACCTCAGCCTCCCAAAGTGCTGGGATTACAGGCTTGAGCCACCACGCCCGGCTGTGTAGCCTGTTTTTAATGCTCTGTTATTATATATAGCAGTGCTTTGATGAAAATCACTGTGTATAAATCTATTTTTATTAGAGCTATTCTAAAATGAGAAATTCCCATGTAAAAGGATGTACTTCATTTTGAGGCTTCGGAAACTGGTAAACAAATTGCTTTTCTAACATCTACAGCAATTTAAAGTCCTATCTGTTGCAAGAGAAAGCCCATCTTACCATATCCTTACCAGCTTGGAGTATCCTTTATTACATATTTTATTAATCTGACTGATAAAACTTGCACTAATGCCTTTAGGTTGCTTTCTTAGATCACTGCCAAGGTTAAACATTTCTTTTTTTTTTTTTTTTTTTTTGAGATGGAGTTTCACTCTTGTTACCCAGGCTGGAGTGCAATGGCGCGATCTCAGCTCACCGCAACCTCCACCTCCTGGGTTCAGGCAATTCTCCTGCCTCAGCCTCCTGAGTAGCTGGGATTACAGGCACGTGCCACCATGCCCAGCTAATTTTTTGTATTTTTAGTAGAGACGGGGTTTCACCATGTTGACCAGGATTGTCTCGATCTCTTGACCTCGTGATCCACCTGCCTCGGCCTCCCAAAGTGCTGGGATTACAGGCTTGAGCCACCGCGCCCAGCTAAACATTTCTTTACACTTATAAACCATTTAGATTTCTTCTGTGAATTGTTTCATATTCTTTCCCAGTCATTTATTTATATTCTATTGTTTTCTTTATATTCTATTGTTTTCTTATCATTTTGGGGGTTGTGTGTGTATATATGCATAAAGGATATTACATTTTAATAAATCAAAAAATTTAGAATACTTGTCCTGGGAATATGAAGTATCATGACATCAGCCATTCCCCAACTACTATTCCTAGTTACTTTCCAAACTGAGCCACTTGCCTGGTTCCGTGTTGATGAGTACTCAGGATTGACCGGAAGAAAGGGGACGACCGTTGTCTCGGTTACCAGGGCGCTGTGGTTTTGTGTGGCAAGCCAGACTAGCCAGAGGAAAGAACAGAAACAAACCTCATCACACCTGTGTGCCGCTGCTCCTGGGAGGTATAGCTCACGCATTACGAGGGGAAGCACTCTGAAGCCAACACACGCAAAGGCAAACGCTGACATTCGCACCATCAGGACAGCAGAAATTGGGCTAGTAAAACACTGAGGCTAGCAGCTCTTCACTGCCCACTGATAACAGAAGCTTATTAGATAAAGCCACGTCAAGTCACCTGCATCCGTCTCTCGCCTGTCAACTTCATCGTACACATCCATGGCAAGTTCTTCAAACAAATGATTACTTAGCTGAAAGTAAAAAATATCAGGGACACAAGGGACAACAATTAACACCAGGAGGACAAGAGGGAACTGCGACTCAGTCACCCCTTTATTGCCTACATCTTATCCAAAGCCAGCACTTGGTACATACCCACTGTTAAACTGACATAACATTTTCAAAATCGTACAGAGCCTCTAGAAATGTCTGCCAGCCACAGAAATCTCACTACTTTATGACACAGGACCGCTGCTATTCAGGAGCTAAGCGGCATCTAAAGTGCATCATCTCAGAAGCAGGTTCTAGTTCTCTACTCTTCTTGTATTATCTCCCTGTAAGCCTCCTTCTGCACTTACGAGTGCTTGTCAGTGCCCCAAAGTGTAATGGATTCTATACCCTTGCAAAACATCCAGGCGCAGTACTGCAGACCTGTAATCCCATCACTTTGGGAGGCTTCAGCAGGCCGATTGCTTAAGCCCAGGAGTTCGAGACCAGCCTGGGCAACATGGTGAAAACCCAACACTACAAAAAATACAAAAATTAGCTAGGCGTGGAGGTGCATGATTGTAATGTCAGCTATTCAGGAGGCTGAGGTGGGAGGATCACTTCAGCCCAGGAGGTCAAGGTAGGTGGATCACCTGAGGTCAGGAGTTCAAGACTAGTCTGGCCAACATGGTGAAACCCTGTCTCTGCTAAAAACACAAAAACTAGTGGGGTGTGGTGGCGCATGCCTGTAAACCCAGCTACTCAGGAGGCTGAGGCAGAATTGCTTGAACCCGGGAGGCAGAGGTTGCACTGAGCCAAGCTTGCGCCACCATATTCCAGGCTGGGTGACAGAGTAAGACCCTATCTCAAAAAAAAAAAAAAAAAAAAAAAAAAAAAAAAAAAAAAAAAAAAAAAAAAAGTGAAAAACATGCTATTTGAAAAGGATAAAATGTGCCTGTGCACAAAAACATGACCCAGACCTCAGCTGAGTTTCTTTGCTCTCTTTCTCAGGAGCAGTCCTACTGCTTAGTCTTCAAAAGGAAGCTTCCTAACAAAGCACAGCCTGACTCTTCAGCACACAACAACCACCTCAAGGCCTGCAGTGCCTCCCTGGGCACATGGAGGATAATCGAGGTCTTCCTGGCCCAGATGAGGCTGAGCCCCTACTGGGGTGGCTCCGGCTCTCTCTGCACTTTTCTGCCTCATGAAACACCTTGACACATGGTAGCTGTGATCCTTAAACTGACTGACATCTGCTTTGGAAGGGCAGATGCTGAATCTGTTCCATTCTCTATTGGGTTCCTTACATCTACACATGGTACCTCACACTTTAAGAGGGGCCAGAAAAGAGGCACTGACTGGCCAGAAGGTATTTAATGCAGCAATTTAAAATGCTGGCTACAGGTTGGGTGTGGTGGCTCATGCCTATAATCCCAACACTTCGGGAGGCAGAGACAGGAAGATCACTGGAGCCTGGGAGTTCAAGGCTGCAGTGAAGCAGTGAACCGTGATGGCACCACTGCACTCCAGCCTGGGTGACAGAAAGAGACTTTGTCTCAAAAAAAAAAAAAAAAAAGAAAAAGAAAAACAAAACAAGTGCTGGTTACAGAGAACTCATAGGAACATGTTAAAACAGGTAAATTTTATTATTGAGTCAAAAAAGCCTGGTTATAAATGTCTATAATTATAATTGAGTTCCAGTTTTTAAAAAAGATATGCATCTAAAGTAAGAACTGAAAGAAATATACCAAAATATTGAGCCTGACTCCATTAAGAGTATAGCAATTGAGGATGGTCCCCACCCTGCCCCACTTCTCCATTTTCCAAATCTTCCCAAATGTGGTCGCACTATAATTAAAAACAAACTCCGGGAGCCTGTTGCTAGATAAGATGATGAAGGATTGGGAGCTTGAACTTGCTTCATAAATATCCAGTTTTTTCTTCTATGAGACTACAAGCTAATGTTATTATTACTAGCAACAACTACAATGGCCAATTGCTGATTAAGGGCTTACATTCCAGGCACTGTGCTAATAGTCTTGTACTTCATACTTATAACACCTCTATGAAAACAGGAACCACTATTGTCCCATTTTGCAGACAAGGAAACTGAGGCAGAGAAGATAGCAGCTTGCCTAAAGTCCCAAAGCTAGGAAGTGATGGACCTGAGATACAAGTTCACATCTTTCAAAATGCTAACATTAGGCCGGGCGCAGTGGCTCACACCTGTAATCCTAGCACTTTGGGAGGCCGAGGTGGGTGGATCACCTGAGGTCAGGAGTTCAAGACCAGCCTGGCCATCATGGTGAAACCCCATCTTTAAAAAAAAAAATGCTAACATTTACTCATTCAAGGAACACATTAGCTTTTATTATATTTCTCTTAGCTTTTCATCAGGAGGGAGGAAGGAAAAGAGAAAGGAAAGAAAGGATGGAGGGAGGAAGAGAGGGAGGGACAGGAGAAAGACACTGGAGGATAAACACTGACCTGGCACTGATAAGACAGTCACCTGTGAGAAGGAGACCACAGGGTGAGGGTCAACAAGTAATGGTGGCAGCCCACCCTGAGCAATTCTGGTCAGCAGCCCCTGCAGCATCCTTATCTCCCTTTTTTGTGAGAGGACACCAAGGCACAGAGAGGCTAGGAAGCTTGGCAGGGCCGAGATACATACTGACCAGTCTGACCCAGAGCCCCAGCTCTTTAGAGCTACACAGACTCTGTTCCAGGTCTTATTTCATGCCTGCCACATGGTAGAGATATTACAGGCATAATCTCAGCTTTCATGCAGCTTCCAGTGAAGCAAAGGTAGGATAGTCAAAGAAAACGTGGGTTTTTATCTAGATTTATTTATAATAAAATTTACTTACAGATTGTGAGTAATTAAAAGGAAATCACACAATATTTAGTGCTATCTGACTCCAAAGCTTATCATCTTGATCATCTTAGTCTACAATTTTTTTAAGGCAATAAAACACATAGACACATAAAACTGTAGATACAGAACACAGAGACACCAAACAAATTGCATAAAACACATTTATTTCATAATACAGTTAAATACTAGTAAGGATAAATTCATTTTATGTAATATTTAATACTGAGTATTATATGAAGTTTTGATAAAAAGAATTCTGTGAAAACAGAAATGAGGAGAAAGTCATAAATGAGGGAAGCTGCAATGTCAGTCAGGTTTTGGGAAAGCCACTACCTACACTGGTCAATTTCAGGAAGAGGACATGAATGTGGAGCTCATGGCCTCAGGGCGCGTTCACACACACACACACACACACACACACACACACACACACACAGAGAGAGAGAAAGGGAGAGAGAGAAAGAGAGAGAGAGAGAGAGAGAGAGAGAGAGAGAACCAGATGTAGGGCAATCTCTGAAAGGTGAGAGTTGAATGATGCCCTTACAGGTACAAAAAGAAGTTAAGGATCTTGGTTCTGCTCCAAAGACCAATGGGAACAGCTGAGGAGTGTAGTTTGGTGGTTAAGGTGGTGAGAAGTACCCTGGTCAGGCTTCATGTGAGAGGACCAGACAAAGAGACGTCAATCCCACAGAAGTAGATTTCCCAGGGCCTTGGCAGAGGCTGAGGTGGACAGTCAAGAAAAAAGACATAGGCTGAAGGGAAGCTGTGGCCTGCAGAGCCGGCAAACTCTGAGCACACATTGGGAAAGACCACCAGCTTTTAACAGCAGAAATTTAAAAAGCGCTGATGAATGGCATGGGATGGGAAAGAGGGTTACAGTATGGCTGGATCCAAATGGCAATGAGTGAATCTATGGGACTCATTCCAGTATCAGCATTTACCACACTCTAGAACCCTACGTGGCTAAGGTAAGTCACCCCAAGAACGTGTGCCCTACTTACTCATAATGCTGAGAGGAACTAGGGAACTCTCCTGAGGAGAACAACTGCCTAATGCTAAAGGTGCCGTCTGCGTTTCTTATATGATAGAGAAAAATGAGATAATCTGAAGCAGAGCTGATTCATTGAACATACTGAACTTAGAAGTCCTTGTGGTCATCACTGCTGTATACTCAGTGGTCTGCTTCTAATTTAACAAATAAAATATGAAACAAAGTCATCAGGTGCAATAGGTAACCTGCACTGAGAGTGGGTATCAGCAGGGTGCACTGATTCTCATACTGGAGAAAACCAGTACAGAGAGGTACTCACAGACTGAAGTTTCTTCTTAGCAGCTTTTGCCAATTCAGACAAATCCAGGCTGCTGGGAAAATATACAAAGCTAATAAGCAAATAAATAAAGCCAGGTTTGTGAACTCTGTAAAAGTTTAAGACACTCAAGAAATAAAAATATTAATTACAGTTCATGGACCATGTTAGAACCAAGCATTCTACAGCCTGATAGAGCCAGTGAGAAGCTCTGAACAGAACAATCTGGTGAAAGTAACTCCTAGAAATACCACAATCATATAAACGTTAAAGAGAAAAAAAAAAATTGTCCACCAACTAAACAACAACAGCTATTGCCAAGTTACCTTCCAGGCACTTATGTGAGGAGTCACAATTTTTGAAGTATTAAAAAAGAAAAGCATGATATAAGAAAATACGCTGGGTGTGGTGGCTCATGCCTGTAATCCCAGCACTTTGGGAGGCCGAGGCAGGCTGATCACGAGGTCAGGGGTTTGAGACCAGCCTGGTCAACATGGTGAAACCCCACCTCTACTAAAAATACAAAAATTAGTTGGGTGTTGTGGCATGTGCCTGTAGTCCCAGCTACTCCGGAGGCTGAGGCAGGAGAATCACTTGAACCCCTGAGGCAGAGGTTGCAGTGAGCCTAGACTGCACCACTGTACTCCAGCCTGGGCGACAGAGCAAGACTCTGTCTCAAAAAAAAAAAAAAAAAAAAAAAAAAAAGAAAATACAAGGCCAGGTGCAGTGGCTTGTACCTGTATGAGCACTTCGGGAGGCCAAGGCAGGTTGGATTGCTTGAGCCCAGGAGTTTGAGATTGGCCTGGGTAACATAGCAATAACCTGTCTCTACCAAAGCAAAAAACCAAAAAACAAAAAGGGAAGATATAAAAGATCAGGATGGCAAGATTATATCTGGAATAGCAGTTAGTCATTTCAAACCTTTTGACAGTTTCTGTGCAAAGGTAACTTGCAAAATAAGGGTTTAAGGTTCATTCCTGTAGCAATGAACTCATCTGCTCTTATAGACCAGGGGTCAGTAAATTATGGCTTTCTTTTTGTTCAGTTGAGCTAGGAATAGTTGTTACATTTTAAAATGATTGAGGGGCAAAAAGAAAGAATAGTATTTCATAACATGAAAATTATGTGAAATTCAAATTTCAGTGTCCAGAAATAAAATTTTATTGGAATACACACACTCATTCATCTACAGAGTGTCCACAGATGCTTTCATCTACGACAGCAAAGTTAAGCTGTTGCAAAAGAGGCCATATTGCCCACAAAGCCTAAAATTTTTATTATTTGGCCCCTGAGAAGAAAAGTTTGCCAACCCCTGTCACAGATAAAGAATATAATCTGCATTGGAATCGAATCATTTTCTATGTGCAAAGAAAAAAAAAGAAAAAAAGAATATAATCTCCTATAATACAGAAGTATTCTGTAAATATAATCTATAGGCACATAAATACTGGCTAAAACAGTGACAATATCACTGGCTTCAATTTTCCTATTAGTCAAATTGCTACTTGTGCACTTTGAAACTTAAGTTTTATATGGTGGTTTACTTACAGCCGTCTTATTTCCAAATGGTATAGCCATAAAAGAGAAAAATGTATGGGCTTTGTTAAACACAAAATATAACATACTTAAACATAATATAGCCAAGGAAATATTAGCGATAGACAAAACAACTGGTATTTCAAGGGTCTTACCTGTCTGCCATTTGAGGTATTATAAAGTGCTGTCCATTTTTGTGATCTGAAACAGAAACCAAGTCAAAGTTTTGTTCACAGAAGTATTAAGATCTGTAAAGGAACATCACCATTATTTTCTGAAACTAAGTTTTACAATTAGTATTTTTGTATAATTACGAGTCATGTCGGAGAAAACAAGCTGCTAGACTGGCTACACATTCCTGAAGACCCACCCAGTAGCAAGACTCATAGCCTTGTTTCTTTCTGTTACAAAGATCCAAGCATCATTTAGCAGAAACCTATGCTCACCCCAATCCTTAAGATTAGTTTGCCCTCAGTGTAACTGATGATCTTTGGTCATGGAAAGTGTGCTGAGGGAGCTCAATCAGCTCAGAGCAGGCTTTCATTAGCCCACTGTGTGGGACAGTGGATGAACTCTGGGCCTCGCTCAAATGAATCTATTAGTACAAAACAGTCAGGGCTGGGGCAGGTGGCCTTTGCAGATCCAGAAAGGAACTCCATCTGCAAGGAAGCTTACTGACTCAGCCCTAATCTAGCTTCTGGAGGATACTGATCCATGTGCCAATGAATAAAGCCACTATCAGCATTCCTATGCGGGTTTTTCTGTCAACATAAGTCTATCTTTATTCTGGGTAAAAAACCCAGGAGTAGAAATGCTGGGTTGTATAATAAATGTATCTTTAACTTGGTAAGAAATTGCCAGACTTTTCCCCTCGAGTAGCGCTATCACTTTGTTTTCCAAATGGCAATGTGTGAGATTATAGCTGCTTCCTGTCTTCCTTAGTACCTGTACTGTGAGTTTTGTTTTTGTTTTTGAAAGTTTAATCATTCTAACAGGTATGCTATGACATCTCATTGTGCTAATGACTAATCATGCTATGCTTGTCTTCATGTGATTTTTTTTTTTTTTTTTTGCCATCCCATATCTTGTCTTTGCCCAGTTTTTATTGGGCTGTTTTCTTACTGTTGAGTTTTAATTTTAATATTTATTTATTTATTGACAGAGTCTCACTCTGCCCCCCACAGCTGGAGTGCAGTAGTGTGGATCTCTGCTCACTGGCAACCTTCACCTGCTGGGTTCAAGTGATTCTCATGTCTCAGGCACCCAAGTAGTTACAACTACAGGTGTGTGTTGTTACCCCCAGCTAAATTTTTTATATTTTTAGTAGAAACAGGGTTTTGCCATGTTGCCCAGCATGGTCTCAAACTTCTAGGCTCAAGAAATCCACCCACCTAGGCCTTCCAAAGTGCTGAGATTACAGGTGTAAGCCATCATATCCAGCCTGAGTTTTAAAAATTATTTAAATATTCTGAATATGAGTCATTTGCTGGATATGTGATGTCCAAATACCTGTATTTTCTCAGTCTGTGTCTGGTCTTTTCACTTTCTTAACTGTAGTTTTCTCAGAACAAAAATGTTTCTTTTTTTTGAGATAGAGTTTCACTCTTGTTGCATAGGCTAAAGTGCAATGGTGCAATCTTAGCTCACTGCAACCTCTGCCTCCCAGGTTCAAGCGATTCTCTTGCCTCAGCCTCTCAAATAGCTGAGATTACAGGCATGCACCACCATGCCCGGTTAACTTTTTGTATTTCATAAGAGACAGGGTTTCACCGTGTTGGTCAGGCTGGTCTTGAAGTCCTGACCTCAGGTGATCCACCCACCTTGGTCTCCCAAAGTGATGGGATTACAAGTGTGAGCCACCGTACCTGGCCAAATATTTTCAATTTTGATGAAGTATAATTTATCAATATTTTCTTTTATGGATTCTGCTTTTGGTATCACATCTAAGAGTTTTTGGGGGTTTTTTTCCCCTTGCAGAGGCAAGGTCTTGCTCTATTGCCCAGGCTGGAGTGCAGTGGTGAGGTCATAGCTCACTGCAGCCTTGACTTTGTGGGCTCAAGTGATCCTCCTACCTCGGCCTCCAAAAGTGCTAGGATTACAGGCATGAGCCACCATACTCAGCTGATAGTTAACAGCTTTAATCCAAGACCACAAAGATTTTCTCTTATGTTTTCTTTTCTTTTTCTTTTTTTTTTTTTTGAGACAGAGTCTTGCTCTGTCACCCAAGCTGGAGTGCAGTGGTGTGATCTCGGCTTACTGTAACCTCCCTGTCTTGGGTTCAACCGATTCTCTTGCCTTAGCTTCCTGAGTAGCTGGGACTACAGGTGTGCACTACTACACCTGGCCAATTTTTTTATTTTTTAGTAGAAATGGGGTTTTACTATGTTGGCCAGGCTGCTCTCAAACTCCTGACCGCAGGTGATCTACCCACCTCGGCCTTCCAGAGTGCTGGGATTACAGGTGTGAGCCACCATGCCTAGCCCTCTTACGTTTTCTTCTAGAAGTTTTACAGTGTCAGGTTTTACATTTGGATCTATGATCTTTTCTAGTTTTTGGATAAGGTGTGAGGTTTAGGTTGAAGTTCACTTTCCTGCACATGGATGTCCAGTTGTCCCAATGCATTAAAAAGACAATCCTTCCTCCACTGAATTGATTACCACCTTTGCACTTTTGACAAAAATAAATTGAACATATTTGTGTGGGTGTATCTCTGGATTCTCTATACTGTTTCAATGACCTAAATGTCTGTCTCTTCATTGGCATCACAGTCTTGAGAACTGTAGTTTCACAGCAAGTCCGAAAAATTGGGTGGTGTACTTCCTCCCACATTATTCTCCTGCAAAATTGTCTTGGCTATTCTAGTTCTTTCACATTTCCATTTGAATTTTAAATTATTATTATTATTAATATTTTTGGAGATAGGGTCTTACTCTGTCGCCCAGGCTAGAGTGCAGTGGCATGATCATGGCTCACTGCAGCCTCAACCTCTCGGGCTCAGGTGATCTTCCCACCTCAGCCTCTTGAGTAGGTAAGACTACACGCATGTACCACCACACATAGCTAATTTATTATTTGTAGACATGCGGTCTTGCCTGCTGTCCAGGCTAGTCTCGAACTCCTGGGCTCAAGTGGTCTTCCTGCTTTGGTCCCCCAAAGTGCTAGGATTACAGGCATAGGCCACTATACCTGATCTCCATTTGAATTTTAGAATCAGTATGTCTATGTCTATGAAAAATCCTCAATTCAAGTAAATGTATACGTTTATTAATTTGTGGAGAATAAACATGTTACTGAGTCTTCCTATCAATAAACCCAGTATATCTCTCCATTTACTCAGGTCTTCATTAATTTCTTTCATCAGCATTTTTTGGGATATAGGCCCTACATGTATTGTGTATTTCGTTAGATTTATACCTAAGTATTTAATTTTGAGGGTTTTTTTTTTTTTTTTTTTTTTTTTTGAGATGGGAGTCTCACTCTGTCACTCAGCCTGGAATGCAATGACGAGATCTCAGGCTCACTGCAACCTCCGCCTCCCAGGTTCAAGCAATTCTCCTGACTCAGTCTCCCAAGTAGCTAGGACTACCGGCATCTGCCACCATGACCAGCTAATTTTTGTAAGTTTAGTAGAGACAGGGCTTCCCCATCATGGCCAGGCTGGTATTGAACTCCTGAACTCAAATGATCCACCCGCTTCAGCCTCCCAAAGTGCTGAGATTGTAGGTGTGAGCCATCATGCCTGGCCAATTTGGAGCTTTTTTCTTAGTGGTATTGTTTCTCTAGATTCAGTTTCCAATTGTTCACTGCTATTCTAAAGAAATATGATGGATTTTTGGCCGGGCGCAGTGGCTCATGCCTGTAATCCCAACACTTTGGGAGGCTGGTGGATCACCTGAGGTCAGGAGTTCAAGACTAGCCTGGCCAACATGGAGAAACCCCATCTCTACTAAAAATACAAAAAAATTAGCCAGGTGTGGTGGCACATGCCTGTGATCCCAGCTACTCAGGAGGCTGAGGCAAGAGAATTGCTTGAACCCAGCAGGCGGAGGTTGCGGTAAGCCGAGATCGCGCCATTGCACTCCAGCCTGGGTAACGAGAGCGAAACTCCGTCTCAAAAAAAAAAAATGTTGTATTTTTGGCTGTGGACCATGTATTCCTGCAATCTTGTTTAACGCAAGGTTCTCGAAACCTTTCTATAGGTTTCTTGTGATTTTCTGCATAGAAATCAACTCATTTGAATGGGGACGGTTTGACTTCTTCCTTTTCAATCTGTATGCCTTTTATTTATTTTTCTTGCCTCTTGGCACTGGTTAGGATTTTCAGTGTGATGTAGAAGAGGAATGGTAAGAGTGGACACCCTAGTCTTTCTCCCAATCTGAGAGTAAACACAGTCTTTCATCATTAAATAGATACTCTGTATCAGGTCAAGAAAGCCTTATCTATTCCTAGTTTGCTAAGATTTTTAAAAAACTGAATGGATGTTGAAGTTTGTTGAATGCTGCTTCTGCATCGACTAATATTATATACTTTTTCTTTTTTATTGTTAATGTGACAGATTACAATAACTGATTTTCTTTCTTTCTTTCCTTTTTTTTTTTTTTTTTTTTTTTTTTTTTTTGAGATACTGTCTTGCTTTGTCATCCAGCCTGGAGTGCAATGGTGTGATCTCAGCTCACTGCAACCTCCACTTCCTGGGTTCTAAGCGGTTCTCCTGCCTCAGCCTCCCGAGTAGCTGGGATTACAGGTACACAACACCACGCCAAGCTAATTTTGTATTTTTAGTAGAGATGGGGTTTCACCATGTTGGCCAGGCTGGTCTTGAACTCCTAACCTCAGGTGATCTACCCACCTTGGCCTCCCAAAGTGCTGGGATTGCAGGCATGAGCCACTGTGCCCGGCCTGATTTTTCCTTTCTTTCTTTTTTTACTGGAGACAGAGCCTTGTTCTGTTCCTCAGGATAGTGTACAGTAGTGTAATCTCAGCTCACTGCAACCTTTGCCTCCCGGGTTCAGGCAATTCTCCTGCCTCAGTAGCTGGGATTATAGGCACCTGCCAACATGGCTGGTTAATTTTTGAATTTTTAGTAGAGATGGGGTTTCACCATGTTGGCCAGGATGGTCTTGATCTCCTGACCTCGTGATCTGCCTGCATCAGCCTCCCAAAGAGCTGGGATTACAGGTGTGAGCCACCGCACCTGGCCT